TGCCCTGTCGATGAACTCCCCCCCCCCCCCCCCCCCCCCCCCCCCCCCCCCCCGCCCTCTGTAGACTGCCATTGCAAATAGGGGGTGATTCAGTTCTCATGAGATGAGACATGGAACAGTTTGGATGTGAATTGCAAAAATATTCCCTATGTTCTGCATCACCCTCAGCTCCCATTTTCTCTAAGGAGACCTTCTCTTGCTGTATGATGATGAAGTACATTTGCAAACTTTCCCAGTGCAAGGTTCTGCACATTCTTTTATAGTGGAATGCTCCAAAGAAAAAAATTCAAGTCCAGGAGAAAACCAGAAAGGCCTTTTTTGAATTTTTCCTTTGCGCCAGTAGAGGACATGAAATGTTTCCTCAGAGCGTTCCGTCTCAGCTGATTAATGAAAAGCTGTCATCAAAGTCTCTCTTGCTCCATGTCTTTCGTAGGGTTTCCTGGGATTTAAAAAAAAAAAATCCAGTTCCAAGCCTTGGCAGACAGTCTTCCAGTTTGGAGGGAGGTGGCGTGGAGAGTGGCGTCACTCTTTAGAAGTGAAATATCCAGGAGTTATGGAGCCGCACCGCAGTGGTAAATAAGGCAGGTGGTGGAGGCTGCTGTTCTGTGTTATCGGAATGTAGTTTGTTACCAGACAGATGAATCCAAAGCAGAGTTTACAGTAGTATTTACTTTCTCACCTCCTGGGTCATAGTTTTGAAGTTGGTCCTGCAATTTGTGGATGAAGATATTAACTTCATTTAGCTGGGTGGGGGGGGGGGGGGGTTGTCGGTTCAGGGCAATTCCTGGGCACCTTGTTGGTGAGGCCACGTTTGGTCCATATTCTGGGAATATTCTATTATTAAATGTAGCAGTCGCTTTTCTCTTGTGACAGACACACATCTATGCTGCATCCTCACATTTTATTCTTGTACGGTAGGAGCCTGAAATTGCTGCTGGTCAGAAGAAGCCAAGAGACCAGCGAGAGGTTGGTTCAGATTGGACAAGAGCTGAAGTAGCAGGCAACAGGCAGATGTTCTTCACATCCACAGGGGTCACAAGGAGTTGTGAAGCAGCATAGAATCTGATCATTTATGTCCTAATGACGGCTATTCAAATTCAAGAAATCATTACTGCAATTAATTACTTAGGTTTATGATTCGGCACAGAAACATAAATGATTTTTTTGAGTAAAGTCTAAAAAAAAATCTTAATTTCGCCTCCATGCAGAAATATTTACTGCGTGGCTAAAGGTTAGACGTGGTTATTAGACATGCTGCATATATCTTACTGTTCAGGGGAGTTTCATGCTGAGCACCAAACATATCCTGCCACTTGAGTTGAGCGTGGCTGTTTCATCGAGTGCTGAAGTCTTTATTTAGGTCATACACAGTACAAGTCTAGAGCAACAACACCGCAAGAGAGACAGACTTTGAAGTACATGTAAACAGGACATAGCTAAACAAAAGCAAATGTGCAACGGCTAGCGACAGGCTAATGCTAATCAGCGGCACAATCGCTTCCCTCATCAAATGTAGCTCTGTGGCTAATGGGCCCTTATGAGAAGATGAGACGCAGTGTTATTCCCGTCGGAAATGTTTCTCGGGTTACTGGGAGGACCTGCGGCGCGTAAAACCCACTTAGTCGCAGTTCTCGGACACCAGAAGCAGCAGGACTGGCTCAGGGGACAGGAACTTTGTGAAGATGACAGCGGCCTGTGGTTTAGCCAAAGGAAAGAGCCAGTGTTCTGCTTTTCCCAGCAACACGCTGGCTGCAGGCAGGCCGAGGACGGGGTCAGGGAGAGGTACTGGGAAAGCCGGCGCAGGGAACTGGGAAAGGGTGAGGAAGGAGGTATGGGAGCCTCCTTATGGACTGGGCGAGGGGACAGGGCTGTTTGTGTTTATATGTGTGTGGGCAGGCGGGGGCGGGTGGGGGCACTGGCTGGGCTGTGCCATCGCACGCTGGGGTTCCACAGTCTGCCTGTAAAAGTGATCCCAGGAGTTCAGCCAGAGTTCATACAGGAAACGTGTCTGACCCATGCTGACAGATACACACGCACACACCCACGCACACGCAAACATGCGTACACACAAATGCACATGTGCCGTATCTCTATCCCCCATTCATTTCTATGGGCGTAACCCTAATCTCAACATTGACACCCTAACCCAGCCCTAACCTTAACCGTAAGTAACCAAACAAAAGACTTTTGGCCTTTTTAGTTTATTCTACTGCAGTCACAGATTTTTTTTAAACTGAGTTTCACCTTGTGGGCACAAAAAGGTCAAAATAGCTGATTTTTATCACATTGTGGGGACATTTGTTTCTTTTAATATAATATGTACATGCTCATGCAAACACACACACACACACACACACAAACATGCCTTTCCTCGTCTCTCGCACACAAGGTCTTATTCCCAAACAACAATTAGAAATGTTATTTTGGAAAACAAGGAACGTTAAGGAAAGGACTGGGATGCATTGCTAAGTGCGATGTAACGCGATCCTGGCTCTCAGCACTCCGGCGACCTCCACGACTTTGCGAACGGCCAGCTGTCATTTTTCCGACCTGTTTATCACCCAGCGATCATGGTCATTTTGTTGTTTTTAGTCCCTCGATTTGGGTCCTAAAGGCTGAGATTAAGGCTGATGTTTCTCAGACCTGTTCTTGGGTGATTTTTTTTTTTTTTCCTTCCAGCTGTCAGTCAGACTTTCCGAGGGGGCGTCGGCCCGTGGGGGCAGGGGGCGCCCACCCACCGCCCCGCGTCAAGGGCGCGCCTGC